GAGGACCAGGACATTCACAGGGAAACCAAAATGCTTGTTTACAAAGCTATTGTACTACCAACGTTACTATATGCTTGTGAAACATGGACCACTTATAAATGCCATCTTCAACTCCTCCTACTTGGGAAGACAGGCAAACTAATATCAATGTAATGGAAGAAGCAAAGATCACTAGTGTCAACATCATTCTTCAACATCAACTTCGTTGGACTGGTCATGTTGTGCGGATGCCAGATGATCGTCTTCCAAAGAAACTATTCTATTCCGAACTTAAAAATGGAAAGCGTAATGCTGGTGGTCAACAAAAGAGGTTTAAAGACCGTCTCAAGGCAAATCTAAAAAAATGTAGCATAAACACCGACAACTGGGAAACACTGGCCTGCAAGCGCTCCAGTTGGAGAACAGCCTTGACCAAAGGTGTCATGGGCTTTGAAGACACTCGAACTCAGGATGCAAGGCAGAAACGTGCTAAGAGGAAGGCACGCTTGGCAAATCCACACTTTGATCAACTCCCGGAAACCAATGTCCCCACTGCGGTTGTGTGGATCCAGAATTGGTCTCCACAGTCACTTACGGACTCATTGTTAAAACTGTGTTTATGGAAGACAATCTTACTTGGCTACGAGTGATCGCCAAAGAGAAAGAAGAGTGACATTGAGGCCATGCCAAGACATCAGCTTTGAGAGAACTAACATAAGCGTGTTAAAACTAAAAAATCCAGTTTTAGTTTGTCTAGATTTTCTGGATGTGTATAACTAAAAATAATAAAGTTTTGCTGCTGGTATCCTCCAAAAGGATGTTCGGACAAAGATTGCCTTCTCTTGGCTGCAGAATTCCATGGTCATGGCATGGGTTTCTTGAGGATAACGCAACCTGAGATCATTCTCATGTGTATTACTTAAAGTATATTTTACATCTTTTATCTTACATCTTTTATAGTCATGCTTGTCCTTGTTCACATGGTCAAGAGTTTCCCCAGACATTAAACTGGAATCATTCTGAGCAAGAGTAGGGTGCTTGCTAACACAATAATTTGTGACTGGAAGAAATTTAAAGACTATTTACAGAAATATTGTAAAATTAATGAATGTTAGAAGGATGTTGGATAGAAACTAAGTGGTTTCCAGCTGTAATGTTTCAAGAGATATGAAAAAAAGAGGTTTTACAAATGGGTTAAAGTTTAATGGTAAGGATTTGCTGAACTAACAAATTGAACTGGAATACAAAGAAGGGAGGTATGAGGAGGTCCGGGGAAATAAGTGTAAGAAAGTTATGTTATCGAAAATTAATGGATGTTTTTAACTGGGTTTTTTTTTGTATGTTCATGTTTATTTTTCATTTTCTGTTATACCTTAAAAACTCTCAATAAATATCTTAAAAAAAATAATAACACAATAATTTGTGGCTTAGAAGTTAGGTGCCATAACTGAATTCCCAAAGTATGTATGTGATGAAGATAGGAATAGAATTTGACAACTCCTCCTGTCCCAGTAATATATGGGCCAACATACAGTCTTGAGTTTTCCAGACCCTTAATGTGTGGTACAACTTAAGAGAAACACTTTGTATTTACAGGTTGTTTAAAATAAAATAAGACAGACATATTCTGCTAAAACTGGCTACTTGCTAGCTAGCTGCCTCCTAAAATGGAGCCGAGGCACCGTAAAATGGCAGGTAATCACATGAAGTTGTCTCATTAATCAGATTCATCACATAACTTACTTTGTGTCCTTAAGTTGTTAAGCTGAGCATTTTTTCCTGCAAGCAGCAGCTAGTGATGTTGACAGGAGCTGGAAACTGCATAAATATAATGGGATTGGGTGGGACATGCAGGGATTGGGGCTATAAATTGCTGGGTTGGAGAGGAACAGAGCTGGCATGGGGCAGAACTGCTTTATTGCATCCCTGCTTTTCTTTTGACATGCTGTTCTACCACGCTGTGTCTGAACTTGTAGGACGTGCTTGAGGATACAAAAAGTCTTTAACTAGTATGAGTTGCTTCCTCTGTTGTAGGTAGGAAAAGCTCATGAACTAAGCAACCCAATTGCTGTTTCATAATTGACTCTTATTTAGAATCTAGTAATAAAAAGGACAATTACATAATTCCCCTCTCCTTGCCTAACATCAGTCATTAGTTTATCGTAGTCATTCATGCATCACCTCTTTTATGGGAGTGTATTCCTTGCTCATCAGTTTGAGGTCCCGTCTGCACCATACATTTAAAGCAATATTTCACCACTTTCAAACAGTCATGACATCCCTTAATGAATCCTGGGAACTGTAGTTTGTTAAGGGTGCTGAGAGTTACTAGGAGACCCCTGTTCCCCCCACAATACTACAGTTTACCGAGTTCCCTGGAAAGAGGGATTGATTGCTAAACCACTCTGGGAACTAACTATGAGGGGAACAGGGAATCTCCTAGCAACTCTTTATGGCAGGAAGCCATGAACTGCCCTGAGGGTGGTATATAAACCCAGTGCTTTTGTTTTCTAAAAAAATGTTTAGGGGTATTCTTATTTCGACTCAGGAAAATCACTATTTCAAATCGGAAGAAATCAATACAGTAAATGGACAAAAGTACAAAGATTCACAAAATGTTTAGGAGTATGCACCCCCCTGTGTCCCCCCAGAAAAAGCACTGTATAAATCTAATAAATAAAATAATAATAATAATAATAATAATAATAATAATAATAATAATAAACAAAAGTAGTATATAGTACTACTTTAAACATCTAGTTCAGATGGGACCTTAATTCTAATTTCAAGTTTGGCTGCCTCTCATGTGAGGTCCTCTGGTGTCCTTTAATTATTCTAAAAAAAATAATTTTGGGAAATGTAATGTTGCTTTTTAATGTCTTGGAAAGCATCTTTTACCCTTCTTGATGTAACTGTGTTGGAGAAACCTTGTAAGCTTTAGCTATTGCTCCCATGTGACAAGGAAGCCGCTGGCAGGAACACTCAGCTTTGTTAATTTATGGGGTGGAAAAGTAGTCCTATATTTGCTTCATTTGCAAACCCATGTGTGCTACCAGTTGGGAGCACAGAGATATTTATTGCGTCTAACAGAAATATTTAAGGTGATAATGCTAAGTTATACATTGGCTTCTGAAAGCTAACTGTCCAGAGTCAGCAGACATTAGCTTGGGGTTTTCGCATAATGGAAAAGATTTAGTTGGGAGTGAGTTAGTGTGTATAATGTCCTCTAGATATAAAAATAGATGGGAGAGATAGTAGACAGATGAATTGGAAATAATTATTAAGAGCAAGTCACATAAGAAGACTTAGTGAAGGGAATCGTGCAGTGAGCCATGTGAGAATAAACAATTTATATAAAAAAGAAATCCACTCTCTAAATCATACACTTTCCGTTTTTTTCTTAGCTTAAGTAGATCCTAAACTTCGGGTTTAAGGAATGTTGGTGGACTAGGCATAATTAAACTTGGAATATCCCCCCCAAAACCCCATTCAGGAGTGCCATCAGGAGAGTCTGGCTTGATGAGATCAATGGCCCACCTGACTAAGCTTCTATTTCCCACAGTGGCCAAATAGCTGCTGTCCAGTTCCCAGTTCACCACCATGGGTCTTTCAGCAGCTATTAGCCCTTTTTCTCCAGGAGGCCTCTTAACAGGATAGGATTAGATGGGAGTTTGGTGTGATTCATTATGTGATTTAACATCTTGGATGGTGTTTCATTTTGGTGTGTGATTAAAGGAGGCATGATTCAGCAGAGCACAGAGTGTACGCACACCCCAGTCCTTTTCATGTCAGTGACACAGTTTTTAAACATGCATCATTTTGTGACATAGTATTTCCATTTTACTAGCAAACCAGAGGTTAAACTAACCCCTTTCCAGCCCAGGGAGGAGCGTGGGGAGTGAGGCACACCTACACACTGCGGCTGACACGCTAACATGTTGCGACACCGTTTGAAAAGATCTGAGGTAGATCACAAGGGCAAGAAAGTAAAATCTGTGTAACACTGGGTTGTATCCAGTGCTGGTGATTGGAATTGATGGATGTGACTAGCAGGCCCCATTAATTCCAGTGAGTTCACTATGGGTAAATTTAATTGGATACAGTCCATTTTGTGCAAGGCTTGGTGGTACTTGACTTACTTAATGTTCTCCTTCCCTTCCCATATTTGTGTTACCTATCAGATTGTAATACAGTTTTTTAAATTTTATGCTGCCTTGAATGACTGACAGAAATTGTGTGGGTGTGAGTGTACATTAAAATGTAGGAAGCATATATAGGCAACAAATGAAGATATCCAGTCTTTTTTGAGCACAGCTTATGTGCATGCTAACTCCTGAATGCAATAAAGAGCTCTTTATCAGATTTGTATAATCAAGGAAACAGGGCCTTGTCCTCCCTGTCCCATTAGAGGAAACAGTATCCTGCTGTTCACTTCTGCTGAATGACTGAGTTCAGATCTTACAATTTCCCCTTTGATCTACAAATCTTATTAGAGATCTCGTGCGAGATTCTGCCAAGCCAACTTTCCATGTAGTGTTTGGTTTTTCAAGCCCCTCTCTTGTATCTTCTCTCTCTGCCCTCCCTCGTCCACTAGATTAAAATGGCAGGTTTATTTTTAGAGAGTTAGCATTTCTGGCTAGTCTGATTTGAGGCTGCACATACAGGCTTTTTCAAGTGAGGCAGAAAATCCGATAGCAACACATCCTTTCCTCCTGCTAATTAACACCAGTTCTGTGTGCTTTCACTGGGGCCCCACATTTTAATACCTAATGCTGCCTCTAGGTCACAACTGTCTGTGTTGCTCTGCAGTCTTTTGTCGCATCCAAATCCTGCCATCTCGTCTCCTTCCTTCCCTCACCGGAAGGGGAGGAGCCAATGTTAGCTGGTCCCATATTTTCCTTTGCTGCAACTAGGTAGTGTACCTGCTAGTAGACAACTAGCTTGTGGTGTTGACTACTATGTTTAGTCAGTAATAGAATCCTTAGAAATGTTGCCCATTTAACACTTTCTCTCTTTTGCAGGCTCAAAACGTTCAGCTTAGCAAGGACATGACTCTTGCCAGCAACCGCAGCCTGGCAGAAGGCAATCTCTTATATCAGCCAAAGCTGGATGCCCTGAAGGCTGCATTGACGCAAAAATATCAAGAACTGCAGGTTATCTTTGAAGCATATCAAATAAAGAAAACGAAGTTAGGTAATGAACCCTTCTTTCTGCATCTTCCTGTTTGAAGGGTCTGGCAGAATGGGCATGCAGTAGAACTCTGCGACAAACCATACTTATCATTCCTAAGTTGGTTGGTGTAAATGCATGCAGGGTGTTGCTGTCTAAGGGTCAGTAGAAATGTAAGTAGCTAAGGCTGCCACATTTATTCAGTTGGATCAGGGATGGCTGACTGGTGACTTCCCAGGTGTTTTTGAACTGCAACTCCCATTAGGCTCAGCCAGCATGGCCAACATCTGGAGAACCGCAGGTGAGCCACCCATGAGTTAGATCAGTGTTTCCCAACCTTGGGCCTCCAGGTGTTTTTGAACTACAATTCCCATCATCCCTGACCACTGGTCTTGCTAGCTAGGGATGATGGGAGTTGTAGTCCAAAAACAGCTGGAGGCCCAAGGTTGGGAAACACTGAGTTAGATCAACCATTATTGGGGATTTTTTTTATTTTTAGAATTATTTTCCTAAAATGTCTGGAGTTTAATATTTCATTTAGCAATTTTGCTTTGATTAATATCTCTTACTGGTTTTTGTTCCATTTAGACCGACAATCCAGCAATGCTTCCTTGGAGACCCTTCTAGCACTGCTTCAAACAGAAGGGGCTAAAATTGAGGAAGACACTGAGGTGAGTGAAAAGAGCCTAGGAGATCAAGTTGCCAACATGCCTCTGGCATTGGAAGACCTCTTATCCCCTCTGGGTTCTCAATGCAATCTTGCAAGCTTATCACTTCACCTAAAAGAGCTTGCAGAAAAATACAGATTACTTTAACAGCCCACCGACTTAAATATTTCCCTGAGTATGACTGTTTTCACAGGACTGCTTGAGCAGTGGCTCAACTGGGAAGTAGGGAAGGGTGTCTCATGATATGGAGTTTTGCTGGAGCCCTTCTGAACCCAGGATTCAGTGCTGCAGCTTGACCTTGTAGAAGTGGGCATGTGACATTATTCCTTCTCAGATTTAGCCAGGGAAATGGGCATGAAAATCTAGCTGGGAGGAAAGAGCAGCTTGTTGGAGCACTTACAGAAATTGTGCTCCTGGCTCTGTTGGTGAGTTGAATTTTGGGCACTGCTGGACAGTTCCTTCCACCTTGCTTGGTCCACCACCAGCCTGTGATCTTAATGTAGTTCAGGAGGCCACAAGCACTGCAGATCAGTGGTGTGGGGCACAACATTTCCCCCAAAAAAATTTCACAGAAGATTTTCTGTTCCATAAATTCATTACTATGAGTGGGTACTAATTGAAAATCCTATATTAAATGAGCTTGGTAGTTTCAAAGTTTTGTTTTATTAAATGATAGTTAAATCATTCTGTAGGGTAGCAAATTTTTACTGGAAAAAAATGAATTGGAAAAATTTCCAGAGCCTACATAACTGCCACAGATGGCAGCCTCCTTGCTTTAAACTCTATCCTTGCTTTAAGCTGCTTAGGGTTGAAAACAAGCAAATTCCTTGGTCACTGCACTACAGAGTTAGTGCAGAGAGCCTGGCTGTATCAGTCACATTGTGCAAAGAAATAGCTGCATGTTTTCAAGGCTCTGTGTGTGGTGCATGTAACACAATTATGTAAGTTGGCTTAAATGCCAGGTTCTTGGCAGAAAAACAGTGCGAAATTTCTTAAGCAAATCATCTTGAGAATCTTATATTAAAAACAAAAAAGTACTCTGGTAGTCATGGTTGCAAACATATGGACAGTGTCTGGAGGTTCAGATCAGAGAGGGAAGGGAGGAGGTGAGGGGCAGAAGTTAATTTCCTTGTTCTCTTTGATCCCAGGCTGTTCCCAATGCCTCCAGGTGCCTCAGAAGCCTTAAGAAAAGCTAGTAGTAACTTCTGCAGGAAGTTGAAGATGAAAGAGGAGAGGGAGGAAAATAGTCAGCTTCAGACTAAGCACTGGTAGTCCACTGTCCCTTCTAGCTCTTCGCTGGGAAAAACATTCTCCTTTATTACTTTTATCATTATTTATTAAATTTATATAATAAATTTCCATCTGAGAATCACAGGGAGATTTGCAGTATAAACAGTAAGCATATACTCTCACAGTATTCACACCACCTGGGTAACCTGTTTCATGTGTCCAGTTTGGAGTAGGGAAGGGTCACGCAGAGTATTCTCTGGCATAGTTCAGAGGGAGAGCCCCTGCCTTGCATGAAGAAGGTCCTAGGTTTAATCTCCCTGGTATCTCCAGGCGAGGCTGGGAGTCAGTGAAGGCAGAATTGATCTAGGTGGACTATTTGGCCTGGCTCTGTATAAAGCAGCTTCAGATGTGCCTGAATACTTAAAATATCCCTATTCCTATTAATATGCTCCCAGTTAGCATACCCCGTGGCCTTTGCACAACTTGGCTGGCCATTTGGAAAATTATGTCACGGTCCATTCCTGTCTCTAACAGACAGGGAAACACCAACTTAACCCTCCTAGCAAAAGCCACAGGGAGGTGATTATTGGTTTTATAATGCTGCTTGGATGCAGATCTGTACTTGAAAAGAGCTGATGACACACTGCCTCTTAGCCTAACCTACCTCACAGGGTTGTTGTGGAGATTAAATGAGGAAGAGGAGAACCATGTACACCTCCTTAAGCCCCTTGGAGAAAAAATGCTGGGATTTCAGTGCAGTAAATGTTTTAAAAAGAGCAGCTCAATGTTTCAAAGGCCTCACTGATCTGTGGCAGAGCATCATGTTTTGCATGTAATTGGTAGCAGGTTCAGTCCTGGTATCTGCAGTTAAGAATCTTGTATAGTGGGGCTGAGAGCAATTTCTGTCTTGAGACCTCGGGAAGTTCCTGCCAGTTACAGTAGGCCCTATTGAGCCACTGTATGGCTTCCCAGGTAAAGGATCGAGCCTTGGCAGCGCAGCTCATTGATTGTGCTGCTGCAAGCTGAGACAGTTATATTCTTTCATTTTGCATAGGGATGGGTCACCTGTGGACCTCCAGATGACTATGGACTACAATTTCCATCATCCTTGGCATTGGCCATACTAGCTGCGGCTGATAGGAGCTGGAGTCCAACCACATCTGGAGGCCCACAGGTTCTCCTTCCCTGTTTAGCAGAAAGAGATGCTGTGATGGATGGAGGCTTTGATTAGATTTGTTTTTTGATTAGGGAATATATTTCTGCAGTGTGTCCCTCCCCTAATGGTTTGTTTGTTGTTTGCAACAGAACATGGCTGAGAAATTTCTGGATGGTGAAGTTCCATTGGACACCTTCATTGATGAATATCAGAGCCAAAGGAAACTGGCTCATTTGCGACGCGTAAAGATAGAAAAACTCCAAGAGATGGTGCTGAAGGGACCAAGACTTCCCCTGGTGCCACCTCAGCCGAGAGCCACTGAGACACCACCAGCAATTCAGACTTCAGAGGCAAATGCTGCTCCTTCTGTTCTGCCTCGCCGCAATCCTCCACCGCCACCCCTGGCGCCAGGAGTCCCGGCAGGACGCTTCCCGACTCCCTTTACAGCAGCAATGAATGCAGGACCAGCCCTCCCCTATTCAGGTGTTCCATACCCTCCGCTCCCCCCTCGAACAGGAATTCCATCTACTACTCAAATGCTCCCTCCAGGATATTCAGCTCCGTTTACCCCACAGTACCCACCAGCGTTGCCCCAAAGACCACCGCCTCGCCTCCCACCAAACCCTGGCTTTATCCTACAGTGAAGATGCCATCATGCCCTGACTCTTGTGTTTTGGTGCTGAACTTTTTACTCTTTATCTCCCACAAACTAAACCTAAGTAGTGGCAAATCTCCAGACTTTGCACACAAGAAATCATAGCTGACAACTTGTGCATCCGTGCATCCTGCAAAACACCGCCATGTTTTGTTTTGTTTTAAATCAACAACTGCATAAAACACTTGCTTAGAAGGGTGGTGGGGCAGCCGAACTGTAAATTTGATTGTTTCCATATTAAGTGGGAACTTGCATAGCTCTTAAGAGATTTCAAGTCAGTGTGGAATGACTGTGACTTCCCAAGGGATTGTGTCTCTTTCTCTACTTGATTTGCGCATGAAGAACTTCAATCTATTTCTGCAAAAATATATATTAAAAAAATCTCTGTTCTGATCTTTTAAATGGTAGCTGTTGCATATACCTTCTGACTATGAAAACACAGTAAAATGGACCAGCCAGCAACCCTGGTGACTCTGTGCTTGCGCTCGGTGTTTGCTAACTGAGGCTTTAGCACCTCATGCGGGACAAGGTGCTTCCCATGCTGAAGTAATCCCATTCATTTCAGTGAGATGATGCCAGTGTAAGTAGGTCCCTAAATTGCCTTTTTTAAATGTGTGGTAGGGATCGATCAACTTTTTTTAAACGTGATGACCTCCAGGAAGTCTCAGGATTTAAAAAAATAAGTAGTGAATGGACACCCGTTTTTCCTCCTCTTGTTGGATCTTTGGACCAGATCCAAAATTTTGTATTTTGTTCCATTGGATACCTTCTGCAACCTCCCCATTCTGCTTGCTGTCACCCTTCTCTCCTCATCAGTCTGTCTCCCAAATTCCTTCCTTGTGGCATGTAGGGTAGAGGGTCGTCTTAAAAAGGCTTTTGGCCTGTATTGCCTTCTTGCATTGTGGAGAGCAAATTCTGTCAAACACACTTTTGTGTGTCATGACTTCTGACTAATCTGATGGGCAATTAGTTCTATCAGTTTATATTTTCATCACATCTTGGTCTTAAGCTAAAACTCCCACCCCAGTGGAGAACCTCGAATCTGTTTCGTATTGAGCCGGGAGAGAGCTTTCTCTTCCCTTCATGCCCCTCTAGTCTTCCAAACCTTTTGTTTCTTAAAATTGAAGACCTGCTTCCATTTACAAACTTTTCTAGACTGACTGCTGCTCTTGAATGAATCTTGGCTGTTAGTTTTTTGTATTTAATTAACTTTTGCAGTCATGTGACAGCTTCAGAGTCTTGAAATTTCATTGTTGTTTTAGTCCTTCTGGGGGCTCACTCTTGCTATCAGATGGGTCTGTGACAGAGCCCTGAATAACAGCTAAATATGCTAAATGCAATTTTTCATTGCATTGGAGTTTCTTCCAAGAGTCTGGCAGAGCGTGAAAGATCGTAGAGAGATTAGCACACCAATTTCACATCATTGCTCATTGGTGTGTTTGATTGATCTCTCATTTTAATAAGCGTGGATAGCTGTAAAATGAATAATGTTTCAAGAGTGTTTGGAGAGGGACAGTTGTTGCTGAATTCAGTAGGAAATGGTTCTGAGCCTTAAATTTTGCAGGGGAATCATCCACATTCCAGGTCAAGATAACCTTGCTGATTACTGTCTTTCTATGCTCTTGCATTCTTCAGCATAAAACTAGCAGAAGCTTAGTAAGAAGCCGAGGGAGAGAAAAAAGAAAAATCTTTAGAGGTGTGATAGAGGTATAGGGTTGAATACAGAGACAGTAGTACTTAACACACAATGTAGTTAGAGCAGACTAGCTACTTCCGCTCTCAACTGCTTCTGTTACCAGTTTTCCCATAAGGCTTTCAGCGCAGCATCTTGCAGGAGTAGTTTGTTCTATACGGGGCTATGAAATTAGTTGAAGCGAAATGCAGATTAAATTGCTGCTGCTCTTTCTTTGTAGTCAGCAGGATTGCCTTGTATGCTATTGAATGGTGTGTCTCAAGGTAGCTGGAATGAGTGTGATTTTCAAACTGGCCATCATAAAGGAAGCGCCTCCTCTAGTCTTGCTGCTGGTGTCCTGCCATAAGCTTGAGCCATGGTTGAGTTTGGGTTGCATTCAGACTTGGGCTTACGGCTTGCCAGGAACAAGATTTGTTCTCTGGTTTGCTGCTTGTGGTTTGTCTGGGGAAAATAAACCATGGGCCCAGATTCAGATGCAGTGCAAAGTCATGGGTTAGTTCATAGCATTATACCAAATTCCTCAATTTCCTCCCTCTTAACCGAGCTAGGAAAATAGACCGTGGGAATTCTAGCTATGAACGCTGTTGAAGTGGATGAGCAAGACCCCCAAACTTGTGTCCATGCACTAAAAAAATTATATAGGCTGTAGAAGTAAGAAGAAACTGATGTTAACAGCTACAGCAATTCCAAATTAAGTAAAGTACGTGTGTGTGTGTGTGTGTGTGAGAGAGAGAGAGAGAGAGAGAGAGAGAGAGAGAGAGAATCTGCATAGGACTTCAATAATTTGTGGCTGGAAAACATGCTTCAAACTAATTTGCGGCTTTGTGCATCTTGACTGTGAAGAACATGGAAGTAAAACAGTTGCCATCCATGGGCAGCTTCCTTAAAGCTGCTGTAGCGACACACTTCATTTCTATCAGCTTTTCACAAAGCATGCATTTCTCACAGCTCAAGAGTGCAAGGAGGAAAGTGTGAAGCTGTTGCAGCAGCACATCCATTAGCAACCTGCCTTAACTGTTTTACAGTGGAAGTCTCAAGAAGGCCTGCTGTTAATGCATAATGCCCTTCAACACTTACTTAAAAACGAACCAAGCAAGCTGCAGTTGCCAATCTAGACCTCCTTATGCACCCTCCAGTTTTCTTTCTGCCACTTTTCCCCCCCCCCCCGTACGCCATCCTAGACTGTAACTGGTGCCCTTTTTGTTACGACGGGAGCTAATTTTTTGTCAGCTTTGCAAAACAAAATGGCCATAAGAAACTTTATATTGTATCATATTTACATTCTTCTGATCACTGCCCCTTTTGGGTAAGCTGGCTAAAAGAGCAAAATGCAAAAACCTTTCAGCCTGGAAGCCTCTTTCTTGAAGCCATAATCTTCTGTTAGAAGATAAAAGATGAAACATGGGAAATCCGTGTGCATCTGTGCCCGTCCTTGAACTGCCATTTTTCTGTTAGAGGCCATTCACACTTGCCTTGGAACAGGATATCCTCTTCCCATCTGGCTGTGGGACTCTGAGGCTAATTCTGCCAGGACCAAGATTTTGATCTTGGTGTATGACTAAGTCCTACTGTGTAAATCTTGGGGAATTGTGAAATTCTAGCTTGATGTAGGAAAAATGGTTTCTAGGGTCTAATCAGGTATGAGCTTTTAGTATTCCATGGATGACACAAGATCTCTTTTTTAAAAAAAATGGTGACAAAAGTATACCTGTATTTGCTGAATTCTGTATCTATTATAATCTTATTTGGGCATGGTAACTTGTGTTTTGCCCTTTTTCCATTTTCATTTTCTGTGCTGCTTATTGTGTGTGGAATATGAACCTTTGGGGGTTGGTGAATTTGAAAAGTTGGTTCCTTTAATCATCTGTTCATAATTTTTCTTGTAAAGGATGCTTCTTGTGTACTCTGAGGCGCATGGAGGACTCCTGTGAGTCACTTCTGTGTTCTAAAAGATTAAGGGGGCTGAATGAGTAAGATGCCTGACTTAATCCTAGACAGAGCCATAAACTGAAGCTTCTGAAACAGCCTTTGAATAATTGGTTTGTGTTTCAAATAAGTTGTCTGTTACTTGTTCAGATGAGTCATTTGAATGCATTTTGGGGTGCCAGAGTGGCTTGTGAAGGCCATTCCATGGTTGTAACATTACTTAATTTTGAAGATCTGATTAAAAATTCTCCCAGAAGTTCAGTCTTGGGTGAGTCTTTCAGCCAGTCGTGTTACTCATTCAGCATGATGATAAGTCATCCTTTTTCCAGCAACCAGAATACAAACACTGGAGCTAATGTAGCCATCTTTTTCCTGCTGCTTCAGAGCTCACATTTGAGTGCCTAAGTGAAAGGCAGACCTCTGTTTGGTGCTATATCTCTGTCAGTTGCCCCTCAAATTAGACACAATGTAGGTACCAATTATGTCTGCCCACCCCTTCAAAAATAGGTTTTGTTTAACAATAGAAATTGGTTGTTCGTATACTGTTGGCTATCTTTATTCCACCACCACCCTCAGCATTACACACTCAAAAGAAAAAACTTGAGGCAAATTTCTAAATTGAGGTAGACCAATTGAGGCAGAGGCATCTTAAGTTTAGATAGCATGTGCTCGGCTGGTGGTAGAATTACTGGCATTCTCACAGATTCTCCAGGGCTAAACGGGTTAAATATTTCTCTAGTTTGTAATGGTGGTATAACCTTAGTTGATAGCTTCTCATGTGAGCATCCTTTGTGCGCAACAGAGGAGGCCAGAAGCCCACTTACAAATTTCACAAAACATATTTATATGCTTTCTAAAGTGTTTTTAGACAGTGATTGTCCCTATCAAGGAAGAACCCCAAAGCCCGTTACTAGTTTTTAAAGAAATTTTGCCTTTTAAAGCAGCAACAATGTATTTTGCAATTGCTGAACTGTTCAGGGTTTCCTCATGGAGAAGACAACCACACTACCAGCAACAAAAGTGGACTCTCTTTGTATCCAGCAGCAGTGCACCATGGCTGATGTGTGCCTTAGGATCACTGTTTGTGACTTGCTGATAAAAGATACCTGCATATCTTTCAATTCAGTGGCCATTCAATTGTCTTTTTCTAAGGGCTCCTTTCTGAGGGTTTCTTTTTATGATGCAGGATTTTGAAAGTAAACACAAGGCAGTATCTGCAATTTGCTTGTGGTGAGAAGTGTAAATATGTGGTTGGTAGCCGTTGTTACTAAACTGCTGTAATCGAGGAAAAGGTGGGGAGGGCTGATCCAGTAGGCCTTCCGGTGAGCAGGCTGGTGAATCAAGCCTGCCAGAAGAACTTCTGCTTGTCCCAGATGTGGCAGTTAGAGGAGGATGCAGGCAACAGCCATCTGGGGCTCTGCAGGGGAAGGAAGGTGTTGCAGTTGTGGCTTAGGGGTTATCGCTTGGCTGGTGCTACAGTGGAGCACTTGTTAGATGTCATTGTGTTCAAAATGGTGGTAGCAGGAAATGCAGTTGTTAATTGTGCAATACATACTTTCAAATGTTTGTAACTGCATGAAGGAGGGCAAGATCATTTGTTCCCTCTTGCATGGGGGAAGTCCAAATGTTCAGCAAAATGTTGGGGGATGAGCACAGAAAGCAAGCTGTCCTGTGAGGTCCTATGAATGCAACGCTTCTTACGAGAGAACACTGTTGGACATTTCTTCTGATTAAGTGGGACTTGGGTGGAGATGAAACCAAAGGAGTCAGATGCAAATGGATGAATGATTTCTTCCCCACCAATACCTGCTGCTTGCACCCTGATCCTGCACCCCACTTCCTTCTATTCTGCATTCATACAGAAGGAAGTATTACATGTGGGGCTTGGCCACCAGCAACCAGTTGTGGGGTAACAAAGGTGAGAATGGGTGGGGCTTCTTGATCTGTAGGACACCTTGTGAACAAGTGTTGAGCAAGCATTCCCCCTTTATGGAGTAGACTTGATTCCAGTAGTGGCAAAAGGTTTAGGAGCCGCCTGGTCATAACCTTCTTCAAAACACATATGACTTCAGATGCCTGCAAGTGGCAAAAGTTACACGAAAACTTTACAAGTTTTTTTTATAAACAAAAGCAGTTGAAGCTCAGAAGTTTAAATAGCGTTAGAATATAAACTGTTTTAGTGTTCCATTTCAGATATTACTCTTTGGTGACCTTTACATAAAAAATGCAAATGTGTTTTTGTTCATTATACCTGTATTGTGCAGCTAGTAATGTTTTTTTAAAAAAAACACCCATTGAACATACACTATTGTGAAGTGAAGAAAGCCATACTCCCTTGGCAGGGTTGTGTGTGTGTGTGTTTTGGAGAGGGGAGAGCCACTTTTTTTATACACAACTGTCTTAATTGCCCTTTCTATAAGAGTATACACATGGAGGGATGTCTGCTGTGAAAGGGAATTTCACAGTGTACTTGCTTGACATTAGACCATGCCTATTTCGTAATTGTATATATTGTGGGGAAAGTATAAGTGGATTTTGCTGGATTAGCTTCATACATCCAGTGGCAGCAGCAGAAGGGGTGGGGTGGGGTTAGTACGTAAGAAGAGTCAAACTTAGGATAGGTAACTAGTTTTACTAAGGGAGGCTGGCAGTGTATTTAAGTCCAATAAAGAAGCAGCTGTGTTAGATGCTGGCAATTTGGTAATCCTCTGTATTCTGAGGCATCATCCTGTCGCTTGTGCCTCAGGGGAAGGCGGCTTGACACTTCATCCCAGGGTAAGCTAGTGTTAGGAAGACATGCAGCCTGTTGCCTCTAACCCCCAGAGAAGCTACTGGATACTTTTAACTAAGCCTCTAGCAGAATCTCACTTCTGGAAGTAGGACTGTTCCTAATGTAACAAGTCTGTAAAAGTTTCCTTTGTGCTATACAACTGATGAGGATGTGGTTTCAAAACGAGCTTCAGTGTTGAAAGCCGTTTGTTTTTCTTGTAGAATTGGCTGTTAACAATTTCAAGATTGCAGTGATTACCGAATAAAAAAATGCTAGATTTTGTACAAATGTGTGTCTTCTCAAAATTACCTTTTACAACTCTTACAGTCGTGGGGGGGGGGCGCAGTACACCCTTTTTGAATTATGTGGGTTCATATATGAGGACATAATCTTAAAACCTGCTAAGGAACAAATTATTGTTAAGCAAATACAATCTCAGATGAACAACACATGACACATTACACTGTTCCATGATTTATTTAACAGAAATAAAGCCAAAATGGAGAAGCCGTGTGTGGAAAAACTGAGTACACTTTAGGATTCAGTAGCTTGTAGAACCACCTTGAGCAGCAATAATGAACTAATCTTTTCATTGTGGAGTAATTTTGGCCCACTCTTCTTTACAATGTTGGCATTTGTTTATGCACAGTTCTCTTGCCACAGCATTTCATTTGAGTTGAGGTCTGGACTTCAACTGGGCCAATGCAACACCTTGATATGCAAAACCAGAGAATTCAAAGAGGGTGTACTTTCTTTTCCCCATGAGTGTACATTGTGCGATTGCTGCTCAGTAAAGTACCACTTTGCCGCTTTGCTTTCCTCTCCCATTGACAAAGATGGAAAAAAGTGACTGAGCCACCTAGTTAACCATCAAAAGGGAAATATATTACCTTGAAATATGTTAACCATGCAGATAAACTGCTTCTGTGCTGAGGCTGGTTTGACTTTGTAAAAGAATACTGCACCATTTAATTTTGACAGCTACCACTGTTGGAACGTCAAGGCAAGAAATAACCCATTTGTTTTCTCAGACATTCACACAGCAATTTCAGTATCCTAACACACCACTTGTCTTATTTTATTGCTTATGTACAAGAATACCACAAAGTGTAAACAAATCAAGGCAGACTTCCAGCTATTTGCTTAAAATGTCATTGTTTTTGCTAGTAGAAACACTCCAAAGGAGAGGATAATTATTTTGTGGTACTAAAGTCCTTTGCAATTTGCAGGTACAACGAGCACCAAAAATAATGGCCATGGTTCAGTTCCAATAGCAGAAATCTTGCTCTGGCTACAATTCTACTAGATACACTTGGCAAGAACAATGTCCCAGTGAAGCTACCTTTATATAGAGTCGGCCTGAAGGACTGAACTTGGCAGTTGTAAAGTACCTGCTCAGCAATATCATTAATGGCTTAAATGGAGAAGCCAAGCTGGACAACTTGGTAGAGAAGAGGCTTCAAGGAGGTGGTACTAATAGTTGTAAAAATATGATCTAGAAAAATATCAGGAAAACAGAACACTGAACAAGGTTTCAGGCAATTAATCCATTTTAATAAGCTAAATAGTCCTATTAAAATTTAGCATTTGGTTCATTTCCCACCCCCTTAGCTTTCCTATAAGTTGCAAATCCTCCTGCTCCCCACCCCACCCCTATTAAATGTCAAACTCTACAACTGTTTCCATCAATGATTGTGAAAGGAGTTGGGTGGTTGTCGTTTTTTACATTTTATTCCTAAATTGGAATTTTATAACCTTAAACCAGTGTAGACTTTTTCTCTGCTTGCAGTGCTTCTAGAAGTTGTCAAACCTTTCTGTACAGTAAATAAATCCTATTCCTTTTTAATACATATACAAAAACTGACAGTCTAAAAAGATTGTTATCCTTTTCAGAGTTTTCATCCTGGGGGAAACATTTTTCAGCCTGTAGCATAAACACTACAAAGAAATCCAAACAGCCTACTTAAAAGGGGGGGGGTCACATTTCTTTAAAAAGGCTCCTGTAGTACAGTGATAGGTACACCAACATTTACTCGAAACAGCACAAGATTCCTATTGCTTATAAATAACCGATATCCACAAAGTAAACTTTCTCCCCTCACCCTCCCCATTCTTCCCATTTAGGATCTGTGTTCCACATAGGTAACAGGCAGCCTACAGTTGCTTTAAGAAAGCAGTCGTTCTAATACTACAGATCAGGTCAAGCTATACAATTCAAAGGTACCTTTGCTTCTTTCTTGGTCAAGGAAGTAAGTTTTCAGTGTAAAGGCAAGGCCAGACACAAGGCAACTGAGGATTTATCCAATCTGTATCTGTTTAAAACACAGACATTTTTAAATAGTTCAGGGCCTCCCAGAGCAGCCCCCTCTCTGTGGAAAGGCAAACAGTCGTTGAGTCTTCCGCCCAGAAATCTGTTGCTTGGAGCCTGCAGGAAAACAGCAGGCAAGGCACAGTGCCTGAACCCCTCCGGGCAGCAGGAAGAAGAATCAAGCTGGCTAGAAGCTGAATCCCACGTGCCCTTTGCTCTGCTCCTGCTGCTCTCTTCTTCCTTTCCAGGTTGCGTTGTTTGCCATTTACACCTTAGAAGTTGACAACATGTGCCTGGAACACACCATCCTCCTGGACCAGGTACAGAAAATGATAAGATGTGGATCGTTACTACCCAACTAAAAGAAATTTTAATGCAATGAGATTTAATCAATCTATTTGTGCCAACTGTTATAAGACACACACTGTTTTTGGATGATGCATGTCAGTTCTATGCGCTTGAGACTAGAGGGGATGCTTTTAAGGCAAAACCTTGTGTCCAATTAAGTTAGGGATGTATCCGTTAGTTAATAGAAAAGAGTTGTTGCCAGCCCTCAAGCTGATGCCCTCCAACGATCCAAAGGGCAGGAGTGATAGGGGCTGGAAAGGGTGTCCTGTAGCCTGGATGGTGTACTATAAATGAAAACGAAGAAGCTCCCTCTAGCTTGTGACCCTTTCAGTAAGAGTAGCCCAGAGGATTCTTCTAAAAGTCCAGCATCTTGCATCTTCCACCCCAGGAGGTTCACAGCCTTCTAATGTTTCTCTGTTGCCTCTAAACATGGAGGCACTATAGCCCAAGGGCATGAGGAACCTGTGGTGGTCCCTCCAGAGGCTTTTGGTCTCCCAGCTCACATGGCCTGTGGCCAGGGATGGTGGGAGCTGCAGTCCAGCAGCGCCTGGAGAGCCACAAGTTGCCCACCCTTGCCGCAGCTTGTGAACAGCTGTGTTTTCTCATTCCGCAAATGGCAGTTATCTCGGGGCAGCAGATTGCACAGGCTAGATGTGTGAAGAAATACTTTCCTGTATTGCTGATTTCAGTTTCAATGGGGTGACCCCAAATTTCTAGTATTACAGGAGAGGTAAGGCAGTTTTGTTTTAATCTACTACTGCAGCATTGCTTGCCATTCTACAGGCACTCTTACGTGCCCCAGCATGTTCCTCAGTCTCCCTTTAGTCACTGCAGTGCTCTTCTGCACCCTCCACAGTATTATGCCCACCATTTTTGTGGCAAGCAGAGTCTCCAGAGGATTCCTCAGGGGAAATCTCGATTTGGCTTCCCTACGTGAATCCCGTACAACCGTGACAAACATGCACTTATCCTGGTAATGAATGATTCACATAAGCTTGCTAGCCTCATGATGTTTTCTGGGCCTGACTGCTGTGAGAAGGCTGTTGCTTTCTCCAACCACGCACACCCCTTGTTCTGCGGCTGAAAGTATACCGTACCTCACAGGCTGGCTTCAGGGACTGGACAGGCTTCTGAGCAACCGGAGGCTTCTTTAAGCTGCCTGGCTTGCGGGCAACTGTTGGTTTCCCCCCCTCTGCGCTCTCATAGTCAATACCAGCCAAGGCATAATGCTGCCTTCTCAGCTCACCAAGGCGAAGCCTCTCGTTCTCCAGGGTCTTTTCCAACTCCAGCACTTTCACCTGCAACAAGCAACATTCTCCGTTGAGCTATGGGGAGTGGGAAATATCAAAGACACCCCACTTCTTATGCAGCTGTTGAACATAGTCACTGTTGCTTAGTTCACATGTTATCCATAGATCTACTCCCATGGACCAGAGTGCGGGAATATTTCTAACTTGGCATCTCTACTCCCAGGTGGCCAAAAGGTCTCCCATTGCTGCCTTTTCTCCTCCTTATGCCTGGAATTGCATCCACGCAGCCCCACACGTGCCCCACACCTCATTTTCTCAACTGCCTTGTCTTCCGTGGCACAACTTGGATTAGGGTCTGGAGAATAGGGTCTGGGGACCAAGATTTTTCCATCTATAGGATGCCCCCATGTATAAGACGCCCCTTATTTTTGACATTATTTTTAGGGGGGAATTAAGTCTTACACACGGAAAAATATGGTATGTGTAGCTGAACGAAGACACGCTGTTCTCATTTACCCCTGCTTCTCCATGCTCTGTTGTCTGCCCTGTGATATTCAAACTGTAGTATCCCCTTGGCTGTTATGTGTTACTAAAACATTCACAGAGTCCACCCCTTGCTCAGCTTGTTCAACTGGTTTGGACCATGCAAAACTCTCATCACCCCCAGCCATGCTGGTTGGGGCTGATGGGAGTTGTAGTGCAAAACAGCTGGAGGACACCAGCATCTGAAAGGCTAGTTGTGTCTCCAAGCTCTGCCAGCTGTAACTGACATGCTGAAATCAAGCCACTGTTGTGGGAAAAGGTAAGGATTAGAGTAGACAGACAGATCCAAAGAAGGGCTACTGGGCAAGGAGAGTCAGGCTCAACCTCTGTAGCCTTAAATACGGTGGGAGGAGGCAGCAACTGCCCATTCTTATTAAGGCTTGCTTTCAATTCACTCTTCAGCGGACAAATCATGGCTTACATAACACCATTGTGAAACCCCAGTCTGCATGGCCTATTTAAAGACGTCCCAATGACGACATCTCATCCCTCAGATGCTCAAGGGGCAGTTGGCTCTTGTGTGAGAGTCACTTTGGGAACTATTAACCCAGCTTCTATTTTATACTTCCCCAGGAATCTTCTCAACACTTCCCCTGTTTTTCCAAAGAACCCAAACAGTACCTGTGTCTCCATTTCCTCCATCTTAAGTTTGATTAAGGACATTCCAGAGAAGTCCATGGTCTCTGAAAGGAAGAGAAAAGCAAGTTTGTTGTAGAAACTACATAAGTTTTCAGCAGGGAGGTGAGGCTGAAGTTTTCAGCAGGGAGGTGAGGCCACTTTCTGCTACCTAACCCTAAACCCTAAACCCAGCCCCTCACCAGTGTGTTCTTGCTTCAGTA